TATAAAATACCTTCACAGTACATAATAAAATTAATTATTTTTATATTGATTACATGTTGAAATAACAGTTTGGATAGATCAGGTTAAATAAAATGTCAAACTTACAAAAAATCTCTCTTAAGGGATTTCAGCATCCTGGCATGCTTCCACATACCAAACTACTGCCTTCTGTTAAATGCAAATGATCTTCAAGGCCAAGGGCTGTGCATTACTTTTATTTCTCTCCACAGCACCTGGTGCATTGCTATATATGGAAGTTGATAACCAGCTGGCTAACTGTGGATCATTTTGGTACGAAACTGAGTTTTATCTCAAGTTACCTTTTAAAGCCCTACGCCACTGAACACTTTAAGTCCCCCTCACTGTCTGAATGAAGACACATGCATCCTTTTCATTTCTATATGTTCAGACACCAAAATAAAACAAAGAACCTAAATATCTTCTTATATTTGATTTAGATTTATTTCTTCCATAAGGAGTTTAGCATTAGGCAAATGGTGGGTTGGAAGGGTGGTGAAAGAACAAACTTAAAAGAATGGAAGAAATGAATTCATTAATTCTATGCTCAATACGGCTGACTATAATCAATCTGCAAGAAATGAATGTTGCATTTGGACCGAGACCAGCACAAAAAATGTCTAATAATAACCTTGGGCAAAATTCTAGTTGACTACAGTAAATGCCCAAGGAAGTCCATGTTTGTTTATTTTCACCAACACAGCACATTGTCTTGCTTTTAAAATGTACACTGCTCTGATTGGCTAAATAGATGGCGATACTAGTAAAGGGAGCCATTGATGTCTCTGGAAATCGGGTCATCTTTTTGAGCACTAGCAGGTGAGTGTCCTACCTCTCAACTGACATAATGCACCTTCTGCAAGACAGCAGTCTTTTGGCATGGCTCCCCTTTGAAGGAAAGCCCAAAATGAACTCCTGCTAAAGTGGCATATCGAACCAGCCCGTTTTTATTTCCAAGGCCTTCTCAGTTGATCCCTAGCACATCCATCTTCCTGGAAGTGACTATTGCAGGCTAGAATTACAACTTCCTTCTGACAGCAGAATGCACTCCCAGAAGAACCCGACCAAGGTCATTAACCAAATCCTTAAGCAGACAGCTTTCAGGGTGGCTGGGCCTTGTTAGAAAGGGTTTATGGAACATCTGCTGGGCCCAGAGGTCTTTTCTAGGCATAATCTGAGGGTTAGGAAGATATGAGGACATGGTCCTTGCCCACAAGGAGCCCTCATCCCTCAGAAGTTGCGTCTCCGGGAGGGCTGTTATTACACATATTGCCCAAGGCTACTCAGTTTCTCTACTTGACAGTCAAGCTTATAAGTCTCCTTGCATTATGTTCAAGCAAGAAAATAGCAAAGAACAGAAAACAAGTGAAGGATCAAGAATAAACATTGTAAAAATGGAAAGAAGAGTTCTTGGAAACATTTCAAGCCCAAGCAGCATGGTAAATAAGGGTACTAATTTACATTCCTAATATATATATGCTCTATCATAAAACCTAGGCTACCTGTTATTTCTTTTCTAATTTCTTCATCAGTGTTATTTAATTCTATTCTATTCATTCCTCTCCTTTCTTATATTTTCTTCCAAGGAAAAATAAGGTGGGTAGAAAAACTACAGGCATGCCTTTCAGAAAAATTCCCCCTTGAATGTGATTCCATTGTATCCTCATATCCTTATCAATTTGCTACTTACAAGGATCTAAACTACGGATTGCTTTCAAGTCCTGTTTAGTTAGGTATGCCCACTTCCCGCTTCATTTCCTTAAAGGGCTATGCCAGGTTCTGTATTAGAGACCAGAGATACAGCGATGGCAAGACAGGTTTCTACACAACGTCCCCGTGGCAAACTTTGACTTGCTCTCCGGGAGTTAACCACTGTTTCCTTTCTGCCCCCACTGCACCTGGTAACACAACTCTTAGCACACTGCACCCTTATCAACCTGTATGGAAACTATCTGTTTATGTTTCAGTCTCTTCTCAACTCTCTAGATCACAAAGTACTTGAGGGCTCAGAGCTCAGCACATAGTAGGTACTCAATCAACATGGACTGAGTTAAGCTGGATCACAATAAACAACCTTCACTGTAAACAGTATAGAGACAGACACATGCAGACACAGGAACGCTGTACACACCTACTTGAATGCCATGCTAAATAGGGAACACAATGGTTCATTACAAAAAGCGCCATTTACACAATTGCTGAGATTTTAGTAAAATTTGTATTTACAGACAATAACATGCAGTGATGTAAGTTCACATTCTGGGACTTGCAGTAAAGCTTTATAGCCCTTACATACCCAGAAATGTCCTTTTACATTATCCCTATGTAAAGTTAGGGTGAGTTTGGGAGCCAGCGGGTACCTCAGCTAATACAATGAGAACCACTTTGGTAATTTGCTACTTGTTTTTAAAGATGATGGTTTGTTATTGAGCCCCATTTCCTCTAAACTATGAATCCAAGTTTTGGTAACAAGTGGGAGAAAGAGCCTGTCCTCTGAAAGGGAAACTTTCAAATCATTCATGTGCTTTCCAAAGTTAGTTAAGCAACTCAGCAGCCACCCCCTGCTTGTGGTGCCAGAGACCCACATGTAATTTGGGGTGATATGCTTGAGTGCTGGGAGATACACAGAATTTATATAATTTGAAATATGAAGATATTAGCAAAGCAAAAGATCAATAGAAAATACTAAAATCCTTAAAAAGAAAGCTAATTTAGCATTTTCATCTGCCACTAACTCTTCATCAACAAATTTTGTTATTAAGTATGTAGTTAACATGCGCTTTAATTATTAAAGTAAAATCATTAGCAAAGAAAAGGTGGGCTCTGAAGTATAAATCTAAATTTAGAATATACCCTTGCAGTGATCAAAGTTTGCTAAGAGAAAAGTTGCTTCAAAAAATGTAGTGTAGTGGTTTATAAATTGGTTGACGTCCCTATTTAAACAGAGCCAATTTTCAGTAGACCATGATAATGATGGACATCATAGAAAATTTTTATCAAAGGTAGATCAAATCAATCACTTTAACAGTGCGACTTCTGTTCATCCTTAACACACACACACAGACACACACACACACACAGAAACACACACACACACACACACACACTTACTTTAACAGAACTTTTACAGAACTGCCAAAAACATGGGAAGGAAATGTATCTCACTTAAGTGTGTGTTGTAGGGGAAAGATCTACTTTGCAGATATAGAGCTCTAGGTTCAAATCCCAGCTCTATCCTTTCGATGCAATGTGACTTTAGGGAAGTTGCTTACCCTCTCTGAACCTCAGTTTCCTCATTTCTAAAACGGAGGGGAGGTGGAGGTTTTAGATTGCCAGCTTTGCATGGTTCTTGGAAGTTAACTCCAGGATGAGCTGTCACAAGTGAAAGTGAAAATATTTGAACTTTCTTCCTTCCCTTAATTTCTTCTGCCCACCTTATTAAGCAGAAACAACCAAGGAGCAAACCAGCTAAAAGGCAAAAAGGGAAGGAAAAGAAGTGGGCAGGAGAGACTGAAACGATACATAAACTGGAACGGGATGAGGCCTCTCTCTCCCTTCTATTTACCTGTCAAGAAGGTGTGTGATGAAAATTTAAACATTGGGTTTTACTTTCAAAAACATTTTTTGGGTGATCTTGTAACAAGCTTTTAGTGGTCAATTTTTTTTTTCAGTGCTAAACCATATGTTTACTGGCTCAAAGGACTCCATTGGAAGCAAACTTATTGGGATGGTTTGTATCCCCTAAGAACATAGGTACTACCACACATTGTGTATGTCATTCAGTAAGTGGCTTAAAGTGCTGGAGAGCAGTTAATATTAAATTTCCCTAAGAAAATATATCTAAAAAATAGAAACACAGTGAACAAAAGTATACAGAGCTCTAATATAACTTCGTTTGCTTTCATGTATTAGGAAGCTGTTCTAAGCCTGCATTTGAAACCTTATTAACCCTTATGTAGAAATAACAGTTCCAAGATGAGCTGGCTTTGGAATCTGTGAGCCCTCATTTTGGGAGTTCACAGAAAATGCTACATCACAAAATCCTTTAAGAAAAAATAATAACCTCTTTCAGGGTCAAACTCCACAGCCAATGAAAATGTAGCACCTTTTAACTTGAGGGAAATCGCTAGAGGGAGGGATAGCTTTAACAAGTGTATCATTTGGCTCTGATAGTTCAAAGAGAGGTCTCCTTCCCCAAGTTCCATAAGATTTCCGACCACAGAAAACCCACCGCCCACTTGGTGTTTTTGATTCCTTGATGATAAACGCTGAGGTGATTGAGAACCAGTTACTGAGATGGAAGGAAGCTCTGAGTGCCCATTTGCATTTTCATTATTCAAGGCATGCAGCCCTTTTCTAAGTAAAGGTAGCTTGCCCAGCGTCTCACACCTGAAGAGAAACCCTCACAGCACACTCTGAAAATGTTTACAATTCATTGAAGATGCACATTATTTCTAAATACATCGTTGAGGGACTCTTTTACTTAGCTAGTTTGAAATTTTCAAACGAATGGGGAAGTTTTGCTTCCATGTTCTTTTCATTTTTCCAAAACTGGCATTAGGCACCAAAATTAGTTGAGGACCAAATCATTCCCTAGCTAGAATTTAGAACTTAACAACAGACCCATCCCAAGCTTTACGAAAAGAATAGCATTTTAAAATTGCACTGTAGGATTTTTATTTTCGAATGAGAACACACCTAAAAGGAAAAAGGCCATCCCCTCCTCCCCAGGCACAAAAACATAGCCGAGACCAAGCAGCCCGTTTCCTACCCAGCAGATACAATAATGCTTTGTAAACTGAGAGCAGCGCCGGGTAGAGAAAGAAGCTAAGTATAAACAAGCTGAGAAGGATTAGGCGGTAGCTCCATTCTCATTTACATGAAAATCCTCTAAGCATCTTTTTCCTCGCTGGCTGCGGGCGCATACGGAACTCTTTTGTGCCATAGCCACGCATACATTTGCATCCTTTGTCTTTACTTACCAGTCGAGGCTGTGGACATGTGTGCTCTATTTCCTCCATGGTTTCTGAGGGAGGCTCATTGGAAAGGGATTTTGGGATACCTGTTTCTGACTCAGCATCAGTGGTAAGTACTGGCATGGCCAGCGAATGCTCCCTCCAGCTAGACACCCTCTGTCAGTCTCCTCCCAGGCAGAGAATGTTTTCTTTGTCACGTATTTTTCTTTTCTTTACCCATCCCCCTTCTTCGTCCCTTCTTTCTGTCTTCCCTGGGGAAAGTAAAAGAGGTTAACCCCCACCCCGCCCCTTTCCTTCTCCGAGAAGCCAAGAGGCAAGGCCTCAGTTTATCACTATAACAACAAGACAGCACAGGAGCGGCGGGTGCGGGATACAGTACCTCATTTGCATAGAGCGCGCTGGTTGGCTACTGTCATCATAGTACCACTCCACCGGGGAGCCGCGGGGCCCCATTGGCTGGCCGGCTGTGCCCACGGGGCCCGAACTTGCTGCTTTTGTTTCTTCTGTTTAATTATTTTGCAAAGATCTGGGTCCACTCCGGGTAAGGGACCCGGACTGTACTACCCAGATAAGATAAAGCTGCTTCCTGGGGTGCGGGCCCAGGACGCCTGGAAAAAGAACATAGCAGACCTCCACTAAAAAAGAACCACGTCTCCAGCCTAAGCGTTTGATGTGCTGTAGTCAGAATTTTGCCAAATAGGAGTCATCCTGAAGACAAAGCCACTTTTGAGCCCAAACTCCCTGTGCCCATAATTGCCAGCTGGCCTCGGAGGGCCTCTCAGAGCATTCATTGTGGGCACCTGAGTGTTCACCCCCTTGACTGCAACAAGAGCACGGGCAGATCCCCCGAGGCCTGGCATAGCCTGGAGCCTAGCTCTGGGGCTGCCCAGGGAGGAACTCGGAAGGAGATAGATTGTTTTTGACGACTTGCTTCCCACCTCTGACTGCCCTTCCGGATTGCTTCCTCCCTCAGCCACTGCTTCCCCTGACCAGCTATTCTGAGTTTCCTCAGTATAAAGTCTTGCTGTTGTCAGCCCTTTAATACACTGTTCCAGTAGCTGGTCTATTATTCCTCTGCTCCCATTTTCTAAGCACCCTCCTCTCCGCAAATACTCAAGGCAATCACAGAAATATCCCAGGTGGGGTGTTAAAGAGGATGTGCCTTTTTGTCTAAATCCACCAGGAATGTCCCCATTTTAAGAGGGACACACACTCAAAGAAAATAACTTTTAAGAAGGTATTCATTCCAGTGAAATATCACACTTTTAATAACAATAAAAATCATGGTAATTGCGAGCATTTATTAAGCAGAAGTACAGTGCTAAGTACTTTACCTAGATCTTATTTAATATTCATAAGAACCCAAAGAAGTCGATCTATTATCCCCATTTTACAGGTGAGGAAATTGCAGTTTAGAGTAATTGCTCAGGATTTCAAATTCATAAGCAATAGAGCTGGGATTGGAAGGATAGGGGTTGGGGCAGGGACACAGCAGGTGCAGAAATAGAAAAGGCACCTAGGTAGAAGTCCTCTTAAGTCCCTGGTCTTCTAGATCTTTCATTTGAATCTATAGCAGTGGTTTTCATCCAAGTGTGGTCCAGGACCAGCAGCAGCACCAACATCATGTCAGCTGGGAACTTGTTAGAAATGCAAATTATTGGCCCCCTCAAGACTTGATTCAGTAGGTCTGGGGTGGGGCTGGGATTCACATTTCTAGCAAGTTCCTAGGTGATGCTGATGCCGCAAGTCCAGGGACCATTACTTTGAACCAGTAGTCTAAAGGATGGGATAAAAACACCTGCCCTAACTCCCTCACAGAATTTGGGAAATCAAATAAGATATCATGTGAAAGCACTTTGTAAATTAGAATGTGCTGTACTACTATATAGGAGCATTATTTTTATTACTCTTCAAATAAGCAGAGAGCTACCCTTAAAAGAAGAAAATGGATTCTGTGGCAGGGATTGACAGTTATATTGGTATTCTGCTTTAAATCAGATTGACATCTCTTGGCATGTCCGTTATTACCTATGCTTGAGAGAACTCCAGTGATGCGAGAATTCCATTGACACTTGGGTCATCTGAAAAGGGCTCTTCCTACCCTTTCCTTCCTGTCCTATCTGCCTTCCTGGAAGCACAAAACACCTCAAGCTGCAAGTTTAGCTCTATCAAGCCCTTCGATACATTTAGGAGCCCCTTTCCCACCCATGCTGGGTGTTATGGGAGTGAGATTGTTCATCTAATCTCAATATTTTCTTTGCCTTACAGTAGTGGTTTTCAATGTGTGGTGCCCCCCCCAGAGCAGCAGGAGCAACCCTGGGAACTTGTCAGAAATTCTCACTCCCCACCCCATACCTAATGAATCAGAAACTCGGGCAGTGGAGACCAGGAATCTGTGTTTTAACGAAAGGTCCAGGTTTCGGAGGCATTCTGCTACATACTAAAGTGTGAGAACCACTGTCTAGAGCCACATGATCTCATTGGAAAGCACCTAACTCCCTCTGTGTTCTGGGCCACTGAACTGCCGGCTTGGTTCCTAATTGGTCCTCTAATTCTATCTCTAGAATGGGAGGCTCACCTGTTCGCCTCCCTATTTCACAGAATCCTGATGTCTAGCGAAATCCTTGTGAACCCCTCTTGCTGAAGAACCTAGACCATGCTCTTATCACCCACTCCACACAGCCTTTTGTGTCTCAAAGTAGGCAGATGCCCCTTTCCTTCCCTCCTCATCCTCCCCTATCCCATCAAACCAAGATGCTGCCTCTGCCTAGGATGAATACCTTCATTACGTCACCCAACTCAGACCCCTGCTTATCACTGCCACTGTGTTAAATCTAAGTCACACCTGACACATATTCAGCCCAAGTCCTTGAACCTTGAAAATTAGACTTTTAACTGCCTGGAGGGTCAACTCTATAACTACTAGTAATTCCATTCCCACGAATCCTATTCCAGCCTTGTCTTGGCTTCCTCATGCCCCTCGCCCCACAGTCCAGTGTTTGAATTTCAGTATGTCTCCCAGTCTTAATGGGCAGAAATACTCTTTTGGGCACCACTCTTAGAGGGGTCCCTTACCAGAGCCTATCACTCCAGGGACAGAGTCTTGGCTGCTATTGCAACCGGATTCAGGAACTTCTTAACAATACCTGAATGGGTTATTTTAACTTGGGTCTTTGTAATTTTATTAAGATGATTAGCTGAGAATGGCCAGTTTATCCCACACTATGGAATTAAATATTCCATAACCCTCTCAGGGTTATGTGGGGGGAAGGGGATGACTATAAAAGAAAAGCAGAAGGGAGGTTACTGGGGTGATGGGATTGTTTGTATCCTGAATATGGTAATAGTTACACAAATCTATACATGTGTTAACATTGTTAAAAACTCCGTGGGGGGCATTTGTCAATACATGCTAACAGCCTCTAGAATGTTAATACCCTTTGACCCAGAGATTCCCCTTGGGAATTTATCCCCAAAGAAATCATCATAGAAGCACACAAATAATTATGTACAAAGATGCTTAACATGGGAGGGGGGTAGTAGATAGGGTAAAAGGGATCAAATATAAGGTGATGGAAGGAGAACTGACTCTGGGGTGGTGAACACACAATGTGATATATAGATTATGTATTACAGAATTGTACACCTGAAACCAATGTATTATGTAATAACTACACTAACCATTGTCATCCCAATAAACTTTAATTTAAAAAAAGATGCTTAATGCAGAATTACATATAAAAGACAAAAAAAAGATACAATTTACAGCAACAGGAGGACTGGGTAAAATAAAAATAAAATACATTCATATAATATAGTATTATACATGCATTACGAGTCATGCTTTTGAAGAAATTCTAATGCTATGGGAACATGTTAACATTATGCCGGGTGAGAAAAGTGGGCCCCAAAATATGATTCCAAAAACTGATCCCAATTATGGTTATATACATGCCTAGGAAAAAAGTCCGGGAGGGAAATACACTAAGATGCTAACAGTGACATCTTTAAACTGTGGGATTATGCGGGATTTCTGTTTTGTTTTGTTTTGTTTAATTATATTTTCTTGTCAATAAAAAGTACTTAAAAATAAGAGCATAGTATATTGCCCTTATAGTCAGAAAAAAAAGAACATTACCCCTCCTCCCCAAAGGCCTCAAGGGCTGGGTATGGGGTGGGGGTGAGGCAGGCAGAGGTTACCACGTGAGGGAATAATAGGGTGCAGGGACACAGTAAGGCACCACAAAAAAACTGAAACTGAGGAATAAATTGGGGGTGGGAGGGTCCTATCTCCAGTTAGCGGAAGCAGAGGAAACCCGTTGGAGGAAGGCGCTTCAGAAAATCTCCAGGGAACGTTTGGGTACAGGACTCCTGTGTCTTGTAACCTCGGCAAGAAGGGAGTGGCTGGGGTGAGAACTTGTTAGCTCCGCTGGCCCTCACGAGCACCATCATCTTTACCTTTGCCATTTACCCAGCACCTCTTACATTGTTAGCACTATGCCAGAGACTTGCCTCCAGCACTTGTAATCCCCACAACACCTGATCAAATAGGGATAGTTGCATCACTTCGCAGATGAGGAAACCCAGCCATAGAGTCCCTCACTTCAGTTTAGAAGAAATCTACAAATGACATCATTCTTCCCTCAAGCGTTCTTCGCTTCAGCAACATGGAATTGTTGAAAATGCCATTCCCAAATATCTGCAGGGAAGAACTAAAATAATGTCTTTGGAGCAGAAGCTGTCTGAGCCCTGCCCAATCCAATTCCCCCTACCCCCGCATCCCCATCCCTACCTTATCATTGTCATCAACACCTAACCCACTGCCAATTGCCAGCACCTGCATCACTCTGCCTGAGTGCTTTCTCTGCTCATGGAAAATCCCTGCCCCTTCTCCCAACACCACCACAAGGCAGGGCTGAGGGTTGAGAAAATTAACAGCTCACACCCCCAAGAACTCTCAACCAATAACTGACAGGAGTGAATGTACAAACACCCAAGTCCTCTACACTGACTCCAGAGTTCCCCAGTGGCATTAATTTGCAATCACCACCGTGGAAGCTGGCTTAACAGTGCACCCTGTATTGGATACATTCCATTCCTTGTCTCACTTGTTTATACTCCTGTGGGTGTTTCCTGGGCTCACCTCCCAAATAAACTACTTGAACTTGAATCCTTGTCTCAAGGTCTGCTTCTGTGGGATCTCCAATAAGACGCTATTTCAGTGCCCCATCATAAAGTTCTAATATGATCTGTTTCCTATGGCGAAACATTTTTCAAATCCACATCACATGTGGATAAAAATGAGTCATAACATTGTATATAAAAGTATACTTTTTTGTTAG